AATTTAAATTAAAAATAAAATACCAAGCATTTACCAACACCTAGCGGCGGTGCTTATAGTTTTTTTTTCCTTAACTATTTTATCGTAGTTTTTCCAATTTTATTTTTATATCTTACATTTACTACCAATGAAACGAGACACCACCACCTCCTATATTTTTTGGTGAAACCTTTATTTTTCTCGACCATATATCAACGGTGCGATGGGCTTGAAATGAAAACGGTCCAAAAATAACGATACTCTTTTATTCCGGCTAGTAAATGTAAATTTACATACATGATGTATGCAAAAGCACAAAAATAAAATAAAATAAAATAAATATATACCTAGATATTCAAGTTCTATAACAACATTCCAAGATTTTGTTGAATGTTTCTGAGCATAAACAAAATGTGTTTGACCGAGATATGGCATAGGATTGTGTACAAACCGTTGTTTTTCCCTCTGTGTGTGTGTGTGTTGGTATGTGTTTTTATAGAAGATAGTTATATTTATCCAAAAACACCCGAGGTTAGGTGTAAGCTTTACCTTAAAAAGGAAATACTTCCAAACGTATCTTTAACACGTTTTATTTGATTTTTGCTTCTAAGGCACAAGACTGTTAATACATTTAAAGTTGTGTTACAATACTTTTTAAGTTTCATCGTCGTTTCAATAATACATTTTCCAAAACATATGAGTGAATGTAAACGTATATTTAGTTTTAATTAAACAATGTGGTTACAGCATTTGTTTGTTAATTAAACATTTTTCCATATTTTCTACAAACCTACCTAAATATTTTTCTATGGACTACAAACCATACGTATAAATGCATGCACTCATTTTTACTATTTTTATTTTCAAGGTTTATAGAAAGCTTAGTTCTGACGATTTTTTTTCTTTGTTTTTTTTTTTATTCTTTTGTAACTCACACGTTTGATCTTTACAAATAGGGCATTCGTGGATGTATATTATGTACGTGTTATGGACCGTTAATCGAGCCGGTTGCACGTAAAATACGGTAAAAGAATCAAAATACGTACACAAGTGTCTAACATTTTATTCAAGCACCGTCGACAAGTTCAACCATTATGTGGGAATAAATGTGTTATATTTCAGTAATTAACGTAAAACACTCATAATCTATTTATATTTTATACATGATTTATTATACAGGGTGTTGTACGATAAATGTATCAAACTTCAAGAGGTACTTAAACACCTCAGATGCAACAAAAAAGTCTTTATGACCATTATTGATTTAATTTATAATAAGGAAGATATTTCTATTTTTGTGTTTTTCGATTGAACACTAATTTCATTCATAATAATGATCATATCTGCTGAACGGTTGGTTCTACAATACATTTTTTATTCACCACTGAAAATCTTATAAAACTAGGATAAAGAAAATATACCTTTCAAGGTTCCCTTCAAATTTTTTGAGTTAGAGAAATAATTCAAATATTTTAAAACTTTAAATTGTCCAAATTTTGATAAATTTCAATTTTATTTAACAATAATTCATTTCTAAGACAGGGAGATACAAATTTCACAAAACCTTAAAATGTTATAAGCTTTAGAATGATATACTCGATTTTTTCATTAATCTATTTGGAGTGTTAGCTATTCCACTTTGTGTGCGGAAAAACGAAAAATCATTCAAATTTTTAATACAAAACCGGTAAAATGTGGTAAACTCATGACAATTTTATTTCATGAGATTTAAAATTAGTTTTTATATATAAATTTATTACAAAAGCTGTTGAAGGTGTCCACTGTTTTGCCTTAAACAACCACGTGCTCTCTCACGTACTTGATTCCCAGTTACTCCTGCTGTCATTATTTCCTGAATTTCAATAGCAGCTTGAAGAATTCTCTGCCTTAGTTCTGCTTCAGAATCGATTTCCTGATGGTAGACTCGTTCTTTGAGATATCCCAAACAAAAAAATCCAAAGAGGTTAGGTCTGGAGACCTTGGAGGCTATAGAATTGTGCCTCCTCTGCCGATCCAAAAAGTAAATGTTTCATTTAAGTGCTACTTCACTGCTCTTGAGAAATATGGTGGGGCCTCATCATATTGGCAAATCATGTGCCTCCTGATTTCTGAACGTATGTCCCCAAGCAATCTAGTTAGTTAATTTTGAAGAAAATGTAGGCATGTATTTTCACCTACCGTCCAAAAAAGTCCTAAAAATGGACCAATTAACAGACCACCCATGACGCCCATCCACACATTGATCAAAAATCTGCATTAAAAATGTTGTTGACGTACCAAGTGTGGATTTTCCTGAACATAATCATGTCTATTATGGACATTAAACACGCTTTATCTTGTGCTTTGTACTCTCATCTGTCCAAATAATACTTAAAAATTACAATACTTAAAATTACAATCCTCAACTTTATTATGAAGTAGCCATCTACAGAACTCATAACCTCATACATAACCTATATACATAACCTCTATTAATAATTCTCCAAGCAGCCGAAAAATGAACACCAAATTGATGAACAAGCGCACGTACTAGTTTCTGGATCTTTATTTACTTCGTCTAAGATTTTCCTCCCCAAATCTGCATTATATACACCTTCTCTCAAAGACCGTCTAAAAGTATCTCGCTCTCTCGGAACTTAGTGGATTCTACTGAACATGGCTGGGGAAGGAACGCACCAACCAGGAAAACAATTTTCGTACTTTTTTTGAAAGGCTCGAAAATTTCCATTCAAGTGTTTCTGAAATTGTACCTCCCTGTCTTAGAAATTAATTATTATTAAATAACATTAAAATTTATTAATACTTCGAGAATTTGAGGTTTTATAGGATTTGTATTATTTTTTTAACCCGAAAAATTAGGTGAGAACCTAGAAAGATATGTTAATTCTTAATCCTAGTTTTATAAGATTTTCAGTAGTGAACTCAAATTTGTTGTAGAACCAACGGTTTAGCAAATATGAACATTATTATGAATGAAACTTGCGGTCAATCAAAAAACACAAAATTGAAATATCTTCCTTATTATTGAGAACTCGATAATGGTCATAAGGACTTTCTTTGTTGTATCAGAGGTGTATAAGTACTTCTTGAAGCTTGATACATTTATCATGCAACATTCTGTATATAGTATTTATATGTATATAGGTATAACTCCGTTGCAGGAATAATGAATATAACAAGACAATTTCTGGTAGCAAAATTGATTCCGGAAATTGTGATATTGTAATATAATTATTATTGTTATTATTATTAAAAAGGACTCTATTATGACTGTTACTACCAGGGACTGGATCCGAACTGAAAAGAACCGGTTCTGAAATCCAAAAACCCCTAAAATATTAAGAACCGGAACCTAACCAAATTTTTAAATAATCGGAATCGAACCGGAACCTATACTTAAAATGAAAAATATTGGGTTTTCATAAAAACTATCCATTTCATTTATTCTTAAAATATTGAATTTTTAGTTTAATTCTTACTTTTATAATATATTACAATAAAAGTAGGGAATACCCATTGATAAGCATCGATCGACATGTGGCTATACTGGTGGTGATGTAATGCTTCGTGGTAATACGTGGTATTATGAAAACGGCTCTGAATCTAATAATAGTATTTCTGTATATTGAATTATTGTTGTATTTATATTTCTTATGAATATAACGTAATTGAATTCTTATATTATATTATACAAGTGGTTTTAATTGATAAATTTTGAAAAATTGTTTTCTTATTTATTGATATTAGTAAAATTAATGTATGAATCACGATTTTGAAAATGATGCCTCAACTTATGTGTCTTTCATTGCTTGCTTTTAACTTGAACTAGCATTGATTGCGATGTAGCAATAGAGTTAATGAATGTTATTTCGAATTACATGTATTTTCATACATATGATATGCCATATCTATTGCTCAGAGTCTAGGGCATAAACAATAAAAATTATTATTTGTGTATAGAAATGTATATATTATTTTCAGATATATATTTATTCGTTCATAAACGAATTGGTATTTTTATACCGTACTACTTACTCTGTTTATAATTATGGCATATTAAATAATACCTTGAAAATTTAATGATTATTTGCATTGACTTGTAAATGGTTATTGTATATATTTTGTATACTTAATTCGTAGACAATAAACATGATGATGGTATTATCGATATTGCTGATTGGTAACACAGTACAACTATTTTATGTATAGGTACCTATCAAAAAATTAAACACGTCATACTATAATTTTTTTTTTTTTAAATAACTTTTAGAACCCCATTAAACCGGAACCCTAACCCTAACCCTTATTTAGAATTTTTCAAAAACAGGAACCAGAACCTGAACCTTTAAATAACGAAATTGAGTATCGGAACCTTAACCATAACCGAAAAAACCAAAAGGTACCAGACCCTGGTTACTACACACACAGATATCACATTGTATTATGTATACATATGGTGCGGCCGTCCCTATTTAGACAAGGAGAAAAAATAAGTACAAACAATTTAATAAATAATAATGATAAAAGTATGTGTAACAGTATGCTATTTTGGTATCAAATTTAATAGTATACTCCAGCGTTCTGACTTTAATAACCTATATATATATATATATATATATGCTATAAAAATAGCTTTTGAACAAAACAAAGCGATTGAAGACAACTCGAGCGCGTGTGTGTATATGTGCATATGTGTGTAGTTTACACTTGACTATATGATGTTCGGTGTGAAAACTTTTGTCACGCGATCAGAGTGTTCGCGAGACGTTATAGGTGACGTTAAAAAAGCGAAATTACCTCGTTGGGTTCGATAAATATACTATTAATTTATTAGGCTAGGTTTTAGATTAGATGGACGGCTAATGTCACATTTTTACGATGGCACTCTGTAAAATTAAATCCAATATACACCTTGAATGCGACTGCATCTCCGGAAGGATCATCGTAAGATTATAATGATGTTTTGCACGTCTACACTAAACTATTATACTACGAGAGCCGCGAGTGCGGTGGTCACTCACTTGGATCAAGTTGATTCGTCATTCCTCCGCCGACGGACGCATGTCGACTGTGCCGTCTATCTGAGGCCCATAAATCGGGAACTGTAAACAGAATATTTAACATATTATTTTGTTCGAAAAATGTTATTCGAACGGAAGAATATATGAACAAGTTAATGAATCAGTGATGAATTATATTTAGGGAGAGCTAATGGTATAATATGACACGTGCGTATGCATTAATTCGATAAATCATTCTTATAATACTTATAATCAATCATTTATTCATGGGTTCTATGAAAATAATTTATTCCATAGAAATTATGCAAATAATAAAAATGTTATACGTCTAATGGCGTAAAATAATATCGCACATAAATAATACTAAATAATATATAATACTAAGTAATTTTAAATAATAATTATAATAATATTGATTATACTGTGTACGTATAGATATATTATGTTATGTATAATAAAATGTATTATTATTTCTTATGGAATTTTTTTTTCAAAGAACTCCGAATTTTCACAATTCAATGAATCGGAAATTACATTTAGTGCATTTTCAGTACCAATAAGACTAATACTGTTTAAATATTATTTTTTCATACTTTTGAAAGCTTCGAAGAAAATATATCGTTAAATAACTATTAAATAATAATACAAAATTAATTCGTCCAGCAGAAACATTTCTTCAATAAACATGTATATAGTAAAATTCGTTTTGTACGTTGTTTCATTTTATGGAAGTTCGTTGAATATTGGTTCAACTGTGTATTTTTGAAATTCCTTGGCATAATAAAACTTTGCGTTTTTTTAATTTTACTTAATTTTAGACCTTTGAAGCGAGAAAAGCGATGATGGCCACCAATAATGTGTTAAATAAGGGATAATGTTATTTTCTAGAATTTATTTGGGAAACGCCATGTTTTTTAATAGAGCTCGCGTGACGATTCATGATAACAAAATCGTTGTTCTTACTAAGAAATATACATATATAATAAAATAATCCTATTGATTGTTAATTAAAATAAAATTTTATTGATGGTATATCATTGCACCCAATATCATTTGTTAACTCAATTTATGTTTAATTAAAGATTTGGTTTAGGTTTGAGTGGATTTTATAGATGAGAGTATTTTCAATTAAACATCTAATGAGAACGATACATATGAGAGTAAATATATATTATTATACAACACACATATAGGTTAAAATGTATCGATTGGTAAAAATATCTCGTAGAAACTTGGATTGGTTAGAATAATAACTCGATAATTAGCAGATTCGAGTTTGATTGGTCCTTATACGTTGTCAATATCGTATTAGTTACAATTATCGTTAACTGTGTTCTTAATAATTATTATTATTATTACTATTATTATTATTATTATTATTATCTCAGTTCATTCTTGTGCTAGTTCTCTATAAGTTTTATATTATAAAAGTAAATATATTTTAGTAGTCTCTATAAGTTCTCCATCGTTTTTCTTTTTCGGAAACTTTTAACGTTCCATTTGAACGCAACTACAAGAAAACGAATTTCCTGCGTAGTCTGTCACCTTTATGATTTGAATAGGTTGTACCTACCAAAACTTTTTTGTATACACCGTGGTCAAACATTACCTATAAATATGTGCTATTCCGGATGCTTTCGGGATACGTACGTCGTCCATTGTATCAGTTTTCGTTACGCGACTAAGACGCTTTCAGAAACATTATCAACCATTGTAAACAAATTAATTAATTCGCTTTCCACCGTTGCCACCGTGTTGATAAACAATGAGTATTCCACGACTTCTAATTGCATACATTGTCACTTCGAAGGACTTGCGAATTCAACAACATCTAATGGCTCTGGCAACGTAAATTTCACTTATACACACGTGCTTATGCCAACAGATTAGGATCACTCCGAAAGCCGTTAAATTTCCGTCAACATCGCTCGTCTTAATAAAATATTTTTATTTCAAATTTATAATCACATATACACTCTACATGGCTTATATTCAATGCTGGGAAAGTTAATGCTATTTTTAACTCAGTGAAGTTAAGTTAATTGAGTTCATATTCAATTAAGTTAACAAATAAGTTAATGCACATGAGAATTATACCAATTAAGTTAAAAATTAAGTTAAAAATATCCTTAACTTTACTTTAATTAATAATTTAAATTAATTACGAAAAAAAAAAATTTAATTGAAAACTAATTTACGTGATATATATATATATATATTTATTAACAATTTACAACAGATCTTATTTAACATTACAATATTTAAAACGCAAAAAAATTCTTATTAGACTCTAATTACGGTAGAAAAATATACATTTCTTTATTGGGGATTTTTTTTAAGCACTCAAATGTCAAATTTATGGTTATTTATGTATCAATAATTTTTATTCATTTTTCATAAAAATCACATGATAAATATAATTTAAAAAAAAGTATTCTTTTTAATATTCAGAAAACTAAAAATAATTACTGCAGCTGAAAGTGTAACTATAAAATTATATAGGTAATAAATATATACAGTTGATATAAAACATTAAAATAAATATATAATATTATTTAATTTTATTAAAATCTAAACAAATAAAACAATACAATGGATAGGTTAATCAAAATACCTACTGAATCTCAATAAAATAGTCATCTCAAAATGTCAATCAGCTATTAAATGTCTTCTCTTATTCAATAATATTTAATAATATCATAGATCATGGAATAATTCTAATTATAATAAAGTACAATTATTATTAAGAATTATTTAGTCAATGATAATATATAGGGTGAAGTGAGGTATTTTCGTGAAATTATTTGTTAAACGCATAATATAATTCCCTATTATACGTTCAACAAATAGTATCTTAAAATTGCCTATGTCACGAAAATAACTTCCTTCAACCTACCAATTTTTAAAATATAGATTTACGGCCACTTTTCGTAATAATGGTAATGTAATTCATGGGTGACATAGCTATTTTTACTCAATAGTCTGAAGACGGTTGAGTACATTTGCCGGGATCGATGGGACCTCACATAATAGTTTATACCGAGTTAAATATTATGGTCTCATCTCAAAATTCTTCAATATTTTTATTTTTGTGTTTTTCTAAATTTCATGAACTTGTTATAGAATGCGGTATTTTACAAAAATATTTTTCTAGTCTTGAAAATCAAAATTAACTTAATTGGGATTAGATTTGACGGTATGTGCAATTTGCCCTCAGGTATTCGGTATGTGTTTACATACCGGTTTTTAACGGTATACCGATTTATCGGCATACCAATATGTCGGCATATATCAATAAATACCGTGTAGACGATAAATACCGCTCGTTCGGTAATTATTGATTTCTCGGTAATCACAAATAGTAAACATGCTCCTATATTTATTTATTTATGAATTATATTTATTTTAAAATTCAATTTCATTTTTCCCCTTATCTTAAACATTGATATTTATTGACATATTGAATAATTATAATTACATTTTATTTTGTAATTATTATTAAAAAGTTATCCTTAACAAAATTAGTGTGAAATAAATGGTATCAAAACTATCAACGATTATTTTAATAAATTATTATTATTGTTATATTATTATAATAAGTATTTAGCCATGAACAATCGTTACTATTTAGAAAGAAAAAATAAACACTTATACTTCATAGACAGTAACTTACGCACCAATGGTTATTCTATAAGTCATCTTTAAACAGTTTCATGTTCTATACATAGTTATGTTATGTATACTCAAAGACTACAAAAAATACGAACAAATCGTGAAACAACATTGTGGACTTTACGTCACGTTCGTTTACAACAAAATATACTCGTATTTCTATTTTTATTAATAGTATCGGAACCATCGAGTCCAATAAAATTATTAAATATAATATTATGAATAATATTGCAGCAAAAATATTATATCTACCAAAATATATTAGAAAATTGTTTTTTAGTCATCGTGGAAAAATATCAGTCGGTGATTAGGTCATTATTATGGCACGTCGAAAAATACACGTATCTGAATTTGGTACTTATTAGTTTGGTATTTCGACGAATTTATCTAATCACGGATTATGTAAAAAAAAAAAAATTAAATTAAGTACTGATTACCATTATGCTCAAGATATATTAGTTCCGATGTTTCCGATTCTATTGCATTGTGTTTCGATTTTAACTTCACGCCACTGTGTACATGTCGAATTTGATTTAAACGTTTCGAAGTTATTTTAGAGTTGGTTGAAAATTAATATAATATTTGTTATAATCGCAAATACAAAACGTCTTACACTAATTTAATATCCAAAAAATTAAAACCAAAGTTGTTCGTCATACCAGCATAATATAAACTTATTTGTACACCGTCAGTGTTCTACGTGTAAAGTTCTAATTTGATGTAAGGATACATTTATAAAAGTTGTTACACGTTTTACGATATCAAAGAAGACATAGCAATGTAATGGTACGTGCATTACATTTTTATTAACACCAAAATTTAACTATCAGAATCGTTAGTGTTGACGATTCTTCGCATATAACTTACGTTCAACTTTTATGAAAATACTATTTCAAAGTTATTGAAATTTTTAAATTAATTTCTAAGTGTTAATACTACTGTATGCGATAAAACCGTCATGGATTGCTAAAACAGTAAAAAAATTATAAATTTCAAATATAAACTTTAACTCGAAAAAAAATGATTTACCTAACCATTTCATTTTTAATAGAACTTAAACACATTGATTTATTTTCCGTACCTTAAAATAATTATCTGCTTTTTTCTGTGCTATTATCACAATTGTATGATTGTATGGTTCTAATAAATATTGACGGTTAATGCAAATTTTCATAATTTAAGACATAATTTTAATAAAAATAAAATTGATTTGCTATTTATCATAAATAGTAGAGTATAACTAATAAAGACAATCTATAACATCTATACATTTGATGGAATTTCGATGATGTATTTGCAAAAAGTTATCAATTATAGTTGTAATTCGTTATAGTTATTTAGAATTGATAATTATGCTAAATACATTTAAAGATGAACACTTCATTTACGTTTGCTTTGTAAATGAGTTC